CTATTAGGTTTGCAGGTTGGACTGAGCATCTCTTGGTGTTTGACATGTCACATTGCTCCAGACTTCTTTGAGCTGGTATCATTGAATTTGCCAGAGTGAGGTAAATGCCTCTCCTCCATTCCAGTGATGCCCAGCCCTTGTAACTTGCGACTTCTTCATGAAAGGAGATATTCTTTTTCAAGGAAAAACTGAATCTCCTTTTTGACACAAACTGTAGATTTTAGCAGCCCTGGCCCAAAGGAAATCGAATGCTTTTGTTTTATATGGTATAAAAGGGACACTATAACAACAGAAATCCTGAACAATTTCTTGTTACTATTTTAATTCGGTATTTTCTTTGGGGATGTCTAGAGAGTGGCAACTTGTGTGAACATTGCACATGGCTATTCTTTCACTGGTTTCTTAGCCTCTCTTACAGCCTATGGGATAGTACTGTACATCGATACCTTCATATGAAATTTTATATGCAATGGAAATAAAAGCATGTGTTGATTCTGCGTAATTACAGTATTTGATTTTTTTTGCAAGTAAACTGTTTTTATATGCATCCCACAGTTCAACATCTTAAGAGAAAGCATATTTCCAGAATAATTTGATTACCTTATTTTTTCAGAATACTGTTTTGCATAGATAATACAAAATAAACGTGTGACCAAATCAGAAAAGTTAATCAAATGTGGTATTTCATAAAGGAGTCAAATCCGTAAAGGTGTGATATATAGTTATATTGGAAAGGCATACAGTCTTGATTTTCAGTAAATTTTACCATTGGCTTCAATGGCTTTAAAGAAACTATAGATGACTAGAGAGTGTCTGGAAGAGCAATATGCTGGGATACTGTAAAGGAAAAAAGAGTATCATAGTTAAATACTGTCACAATCTCTGTTCCAAATGGATGATAAAAAGAAATTGCTCTTAAAATTCTCAAATTTCAGCTTTTTTTCTTGAAGAAGAAATATGGTCTTAATGCAGGTCCAACACTTGGTCTGGCTTTTGTGCACCTCTTCTTGATCAGTGTGAGGCTTTGTTGTTTTGGGGGTTGTTGGCTTAACTGAAAATAGTTTCTTGTTGAATACAAAAAAAGGCTATGTTCATTTTTTCCATATGTCTCTTAGATCCTTATTTGGGTTTCGGGGTTAGTTTGCAAGGAGAACCAATCCTTAGGACTCCTTTTTAGCCACACTTTTGCAGCAGAAAAGGTTGATAAGTGCTGAGTTGGGAAGATGAAGGATGCTGCAGTGAGCAGTGGGCATATAAACCAGGTAGTGTCTGTCACTTGCATGTTCACAGCAGCCC